ATATTGGACAAGGTATTCAATCTGTGTGGAATGGAAAGAAATAATCTCATACCGAGTACCTGGGCATAAGTGAATTGGTGGAGACGCAGCACATGCTTCTGGTCTTTCCATTTGCATACTGCTTGACTGTTTGCCTTCAGGGCAATAACTGTCTGATGACCGTTTGACTGAGACATTATGAAGTAATGCAGGTGTTGTGCTGCTTGGAGGACACTTGTCCCATTCACTAAGGGAAGTGAAGATGCTGACGGAATTGTCAAAACGTGTTTTTTTTGTTATATTTATAACCAAATCTTGGTTTACTCTGTGGAACGAAAAAAACCCATTTTATTTAAACTATGTGTTTTTTGTAGTTTTGAGAAACAGCTGACCTCTTTGGTTAGATGACCCAAGGTGTATGGAAATAATATATTTAAATATTGATTTTGATTTTCATTATAGCTTATTTTTGTTTAACAGAAGGGAAAACTGAAGGAGAGGTAGTCAGTAAGATCAGAGGGAGAAGTTGGAACAGACCTTTAACATCTCATTCACTTTGGTACTATGACAGTTTTTGAAGGACCTGAGCCCAAGTTAAATAGCATGTCAAATGCTGGTGTTCCTGCTTAGCCAGGGGATGAACATATTACTGTTGAACTAAACAGGACTGGAAAAAAAGGAGAGGGAAGTGACAGTAGTATTTTTATTACAGATGGGAAATTATAACTTGTAGAGACATTTACTGTGTGTTAGTCTGGAGAAGATTTGGGACTCGAATCACAGCTCTTTAAAATTGTCTTGCTAGTATGTAAGTACTGTTCTTGGGCCACTGAAGACTAATAAGAGCTGTTAATTCTGGGATTAGCTGCATAACTTTGGTGCTGTGGAACAGGCTGGTGCTACAGCTACTGTCAGAAGTTCATTGCAGGCTTTCATTTCTTCCCAGTTGTTCACACTACTTCTCCACCAGCTTTGAAGTGACATTCCCTTTCCTAGCAGGATTGCTCCTATGCCATTAGACAAACTCTGGATTCTTTCACTGCTGATTCCAAATCTAACAGAAGCCAATGTGGCTTATGAGTGTTTACTTCTTTGTTTGTGCATTGACATTATCATCGAACTTCACAACTGCGGGAGCCTGCCAGGACCGAACACAAAGTGTAAATGGAAGTAGATGTATTGTTGGAAACACTGGTAAACAGTTTCTGTGTGGCTGTACATCAATGCAGACTGGAGGCATATGGGGAAGTTACTCTTGTTTTGCTGTGAGAGCTCTGAAACATGCTGCAGTTTCACTGCTTGAATAACCCATAGGCAAAATCCGAAAATCACTTTTTTTTCTTTTCATTAAAATGGCCTTGTTTGTGCCTCTTGCCAGTAGTGATTGTCTGGCTGAGCAGGGACATCCGCTTTGACACTAAGACTATGAGGGGTGCCTGTAGGAGGCTGAAATTCTAGTTTCCGACCTGATTTATAAGTGGTTTATACTTTGAGCTTTCCTGTTTAATAGTTAAATAAACTGTTTAATGTTTAAAAAGTAAAATTCTTCTGATAATTAAACTGATATACAGGAAAAAAAGCTGAGCACAGCCACATTACGGCTGAGCCTTTCAGTGTGTTCCCACAGTTCAGATCTCAGTTCTGCTATGAATGAACTCTTGGTTGCAAAGCACCGTGGAAAGTCTGTGTAACCCAGCACTGTGAACAGTCACCTCATGATTGTATTTTTATATCCACTTGTCTCCTATTCACAAAAGAGACTGACAAGACGGTGGTGAACATGCTGCAGGGAAAAGTACTGAGTAATGTTGGGGAGGCAGATAAGTGGCCTGGCAGAATTTTCCATCTACTTATTTCTGCTGTTACTGTAGATCCAGAACTGGAAGATGATTTATGCAGGCCGTATGTGCCACCTTGATTTTACGTTCTGCCCTGGAATATGCCCTGTTCATGGCACTCTGATACTCAGGAAATTATAAGAATGACCAAATAGTGGTAGTCATCAAAAACACCTGCTTTTACCTATCAAGGGTATGTGGCTCCTTCTCATTGCCTGTGGGGAACATCGCTAAGATCTACACTTGGTTCTAGGTAAAACAGTATTTTGTTTTCTTTTTTACTATAAATAATGCAGCACAGGAGTGGAAATCAAGGGAGTTGGAAAGTAAGAACCCTGCTAATATAAGCTCCTTGCCCTGCAGCAACCTTCTACAAGTTATGCGGAAAAGCCTTTCTTCTTGCTGCATTCAGAACGTTAGAAAAATCTTGCAACGACATAGCATACCATAATCGTAAAGAGAAGATGACAGCATGCATCTGATAAATAGCCAGAATAAGAGGGTGAATTGCATCCTTTCTGTTTCTGTAATGTGTACAGAATCTTCAAAAGCAGGATAATGTTATTATAGCTGTGAGAAGCAGAAACGAAGCCGAGTATGTAATTCAGACTCAATGCTATGAAAGTTAATGTTATGAGCAGCCCATGCAGAATGGCTGTAGCTTGAACTAGCAAAATAATAAAAAGCGTTTTCATGAGGGGTGAAAAAAAGTCCTGATCAAGAAACCAAGGGCATGCAGATGGAGATCAAAAAGGAAGGCTGTAGAAGGAGATCCTGGCTGATTAAAAAGTTGCAGTGTTAGTGAAGGGTGTTGAAGTGGGTAAAATAAAAAGCAATTAGTCACCAATGACTCTTGTGTAAAAGCAAGATAGCGATTTGATCAGCCTCAGAATAGTTCACATGTGAAGATGGGGAAAACAAGTAGACAAGAAGAAATGGCAATTTTAGGAGCTCCTGATAAAGCGTAGTGTAAAAGGTGTTATAGTTTTGAAAATTGCTGTTTGCTTTGTGGCAGTGTGTTCTAAGCTCATTAGCAAGTTAGTTAGATGATTTTACTGGCACGATTACTTTGAATCTTTTCTTGCTGAAACTTTACGTGCAGTTTAGCATTTTTATTTGCTCATACTTTACTGGAAGGGGTTCTTCATGAATGCTAACTCTTTAAAAAAAAAAAAAAAATTGACCCCTGAGTGCTTTCTGCCATGCAGGCGTGCTGCAGAAATGGCCGTCAGTGACTCCATCTGGATTTCTCTGCTTTTTGAGCAGAGGCCTCCATGCATCATGTACCCTGCTGTTTATAGAGGTGGTTGTACATATGGCATGGAATCTCAGCCAGGCTTTCAAACTGCCTGTGCTGTGCAGGCACAGTGGGAGCTTTAGAAATTGAACTTCGTTTATGGAAATTGTCCATGGGTCTTGGACATGCCCTGGCTTTCTGTGACCAGGAAAGATTGCTAAGCACAGAGGCTGGGAAACAGCCAGGTGATGCAGTGGTAGTAACAACCTCTGTTTAGTTGGGAGAAAAAGCTGCCTTTGCTTGCTTTGCTGAACAGTAACTTGTGAACTACCTGAGGCTTCCATGTGAGCCTTTGTCAGGAAACACAAGTGTCCTTTGTTATAACTAACTATTGCATGACATATACCATACAGTACTCGTGTTAAGATAGTGGTCAATCCAGGTGAAAGAGAATTTGAGTGGTAGCCTAGAGGAGGGTCCTGTGATAGAGAAAGAAAAGAAATAATCTTCTAAGATCACCCTTTCTAAAACAGGCTTTCCTGCATGAGTGACAAAAATTTTCTGTGGTGCTGTTTATTCTGGCTTTTTCAGATGGTCAAAATCTTGATGGTTTTTACATCTTACATTGGTCCCTGGTATGTTGACCCTTCTCCCCAAATATAGTTCACAAGGGACATGCAAGAGAAATGTTGCTCACAGCAATCAAGCCTGAATCCTCTCTTTGACTCTTACTTCTTATGCCCACAAAAGCAATGGTGATTTTCTTCTTGAGGGTGTAGGGACAGTCTGAAAACTCATGTACAAGCTCTCTGCATGCCTAGGCCTTGTGACCCTGGATTCTCCTGATTGCCACGTGTGGAGAAGGAATCATCTTTTTATGACCAAAGTTAAGGCTGCAGACTATAAAGTGATGCCTTCAAGGAAGCCATGTTATGATATACGGTAGCCAGCTGCTTTGTTCTGAGCTTATACTCAAAATATCGCTAAAATCACTGTGGTGGTTTCCTGTAAAACAAGAGTGGTAGACATCATTTTGTTACATGAAACTTCATTGCCATCACTAGGGTGTTTTCAGCAACCTCAGCAGAGCTGCCAGAAATACAGAAAGGCAGGGCTGACAGTTTTCTCCTCAAGGTGATCTGTGTGGATGGATGTCAAGGAAAAGCAACAGCACCATATGAAGGGTCATTATCTGGGATCATATTTTTCCATAATGTAGAGGCTCTAATCTCTCAAGCAGTTTTCAGTAGTAGTTTATCTACTGCAGTTATTAGAAAAGTATAATTTTATGCAGTACAAGTTACTGCCATTCACAGCCTGACCCTGATGGCTTGTTCTCTCCTTAATTCACTGCATCACAGTGGAGTGATTGTGGGCAGGTCCAAGCTGAAAGGCAATTTGCAAGGGGTTTGCCTTGCATAGGAGGATTTGCTGGTGAGACCAGAGCTCCTAGAGCCTGGGTCTTGAAGCTGGGCATAGGCTGATGTAGTTGTTAGGGGGTGGTGCTCTATGTTTGCAGAGGAGTACAAAGTCAGCTGAACTGGTCATGCTCTTGAGTTGAGACTGTATTACAGTCATGATCTAGGCACAGTTGGCCCATTCTCAAGTCCTGCACAGAACCAATAAGGCTCTGTTTTGTGCACTCTTTGCATCTACATGGGACTCTTCTTTCTGGAAATCACAAAGCACTTCGTAAGTTTGAGTATTCACTTTGTAGATAGAGCCCAGAAATAGTAGTGATTCCTGAAGACTGAAAAGCTAATCAGAGGTAGAGAGCTTAACTAACACTCTTGTCAGCTGCTTTGTCATTTTTCCTAATAGGTGTTTGCAAAAAATGACATTAAAGTAACATTTACAGATGGCTGCTTTTGAAGTGTAAACATCTAAACCAGCATATGTAATGTTCTGTTTACTATTGACCAACTTTTTGTTGTGTTTGTTTCCAGGAACACCTGTCTGGTTCTTCGTGAAAATTGCTCCAATTCGAAATGAGCAGGATAAAGTGGTTTTATTTCTTTGCACTTTCAATGACATAACGGCTTTCAAGCAGCCCATTGAGGATGATTCATGTAAAGGTTTGTCTTTTTCACAATTCTATATTTATGCTGCTTCTCTTTGTTTGCCCTGGTCTTGAAGTCCTTTACCAAAGCCAAAGATTTAGATGCTAAAATAGCTTGTAGCTATGCCATCAGGGACTGCATATGTGCAAGGAATGGTTGCTGGTTTCTTAAATGAATTGTCTCTGTCCTGCACTGGAAAGGGTCGTGGCTAATGAAATGCCCAGGTACTTCAGGAAGCAGAGTTTACTTGGCAAATAGGTGCTGCTCTTCCTTTTAAATTCATTATTAATCCACACTCCAGCATAGCCTTCAAGGAGTCATAGTGTTGCTAAACAGCCTCTTTGATGTCAGAGGGAACTGAAGCATCTTGGGGCCTGTACAACTTGTGCCTGACACTGTATGCAAAAACTGAGGGGTTAACCCTGCCTGAGTTTGGCAAAGATCTGAATCATTTTGTTTGGCCTGGGTTCATGTTACTTACCATTATTATAGGATTCCTAATATTAAAGTTCTTTAAATTTCCTTTAACATATATGAAGACATTCCCACGGTCTTAAGTTGAATCAGGTTTAAGCTGTCCCGATGAGTGAAGTAGCATTGCTGTGTTTTGCTGTTAACCCTTTGCTGAGATACGCTCTGGAGACCTGGAAGCAAACTTAGCTGTGACAGCAGCATAAACTTGCACTCAGGTTCACATCCTGTCAGAAATAGACCTTTTGTACCCATATGGAGAATTATGGAGACTTGCATCCTCTGGGGTAAAAAGAAAGACGTAAGTTCTCCTGTTGTTTGCATTTTTGTAGTATTTAATAATATTTGTGGTATTAGATTAAACAGGAAACTTACTGTGAAGGTGAACTGATTTACATTTATGCTCAAAATGTTATTCTTTGAAAACATAGTTTGTCAAAGTGGAAACACCTGTTACTGTGAAAAAACCTTGACAAACATACTGTCTTTCCAGACTGTATGGGTTGGGTCTACAGTGGTCTTTTTTTTCCTGCCTGGTGGTCTTTACTGTATCCTGATAAGGACTGACAGCAAAAAAACATCAGCATGATGCAGCAAAGCTGGCTCTCCTTTATTTCCTGGGAGTGAAGGCTTCATTTAGGCAGTTGATAAGCATGACTCTCAGTCAGGGCTGGTAGCTGTGTCATCTTCTCTTTGCTTTCACAGAAGGTCCTTAATGTGATAGTGATACGCATTCCTGTGAAAAGGGTTTGTCCTTCACTTGCAACATGAGGAAACGCTGTAACTTTTTTGTTTTCAAGAGAAGTATGGTGAAGGAAGGGAACGCTAATTTTTCTTTAAAATCTCCTTTGGATCTTGAAATCATGCTGTTCTTGTAGTGATCGTGGTAGTTTTTAGCAGTTCCGTATCTAAAGCAGTATAAGCACTAAACCCACATATAAGTGTACTCACTTGCAGAGGAGTTCAGATGATAAGCAAAATTTCTTCATCTGGCCCATGAAAACTGGCTAAGTGACTATCAAAAGCTGCAGGCAGAACTGTATGTATTATTTTGAGGCCACTGATTTACAGTACTCCTTCTCTGAGTGCTATGACTTTATGTACAGAAGGGTTCACGCACTACATAGGTCTTCCAAATATTGTCTCTGAATCTCCTAAAATTAATGAAGTTGTACCAGTTTCATGCAGATAGAGTCCTCTGTTGCTATACACAGAAATCAGACATGATATACATGAAATTGCACGTTCTCTTCTAATCCACAATTGATCCCCTATGCTTTTCATTCTTCTGTACGTTACTTGCTATAAGCTAGCTTTGGAATTATGTTGCGTGCATCTCTGGAGATGATATTGTATTAGTCACTTGATGGTTAGATGAGCAGTTTCTTGGAAAAGAGCTGATTTGTCAAACAATTAAATAATTTTACCTGCATGACCATGTCTTTAATATTAGATCTCGCTGTGCGGTTGTACACCATGAAGAAGCGGGGGAAAAAGGCAGGTATAGATTGTCAAGGCAATTGACTATGGTGGACTGTAGGATCCATGGAGGCGAAAATTTTTTTTGGAAGATCTAAAAAAAGATAAAATATCATTAGCTTATTCTAAGAATCATTGCTTTTACACACCTGAACTTTGAAGAGTGCATAGTCATTGCACCGTGTACAACTTTACATGGAAAATTTCTAACATGCTTTTGAAGGATAGTGATTTTCATAGGAATATTTCTCTTATTCTAACCTCAGATGATTACTAAATCAATTATTTTTCCTTCTTTCATCTTCAGTCAGCTTTTATCAACTACTTTTCTTTAACTGCTTTGGTGTGTTTAAATGTAAAATCAGTTTCCTGTGCATATGACCACCTAATATGTAATAATCTGTCTGCAAATACAGATATTTTATTAACATACATGCTATTTACATAGTTGCAGAGTGGCATAGCATAAAGAATTTCATTTTTTTCAAAATCAATACCTGAATGCCTATGTAGAGAAAAATTTAATGTAGTACAAGAACATTATCGATTTAAAGAGCAACTAATCTGTGAGGATAAACCTAATTTTCTATCACTTGCTGGCAATTTCAAGCACAATTGTTCAACTGCAAATGATAATGACTACCTGAGTGAAACCTGTTGAGCTCTAATGACAGTGTTTAACTTATCCACGAAAATGGATATTCTGGCCGAAGGTGACTTGGAGAGATATGGAAGGTCCCAGTACCATTTTTCATTCTTAATAATTTATTTATTAGTAATATCAGACATTGGAATAGATGAAACATATTTATGAAGTCATGTAAAAACCAGACTTCTAAATGTAGCCTTTCTTAATTGATTTAGAAAATTTTGAAGATGTTTATTTTATGACTGCCATAGAAGTTAAGTAAATTTGCTTTTAAATGCAGCTACTTTAAAAATAGTACATTCTAAATAAACTACTTAAAAATAGTGTGTCAGTGATGTTGATGCTGTAGTATTTTTAAACAGCCTCTTTCCAC